ATGGGGCCGGGGCTGGGAGAGGGGGGAGCACAGGGAGGGGAGGGGTGGGCCCGGGCTTCTGGGTCCAAGGGAGGAGGGAATGGAGGTTTGGATTTCGGGGTCTAGGGGAGGAAGGGGCTGGGAGAAGTCTGAGAGGACAGATCTCTGGGTCCTGGAAAGGGCAGTTGGGTTTCCCATGGCCTGGGAGGCTCTCTGCCTGGGTCCCTAGAGGACGAAGCTCTGGAGACATGGAGGAGGCTGGGGGCCTGGTCGTCTAGGTTTTGAAGAAGAGCTCAGGTACGATGCTTGGGCTCCTGGAGACCCAGAGAAGCAGGCTTGAGACTTCGAGGACTGGGGGCAAGTCTGAGAAAGCCAGGCAGACCCAGTCTCTCCAGGCCCTGGGCAGAGGGGAGGCTGGGCGGTCCGACTCTGGTTTCCAGAGGCTCTCCGGCCACAGTGGTAGGCCCTGCTGGGTGTCAGACCAGGAGCTTCACAGGTGACAAGGACAATGAAACTGAAGCTTGAGCCCGGACTCCTGGGTCTGGGGGAGGAGAGAACTCCCCTCAAGGTGTGGGAGCTCCGTCTTGGGCCCGAGGGAGGAGGGGCCAGATCTCGAGTCCTTGGGCAAGGAGGAGACAGACTGGCAGGAAGCGACATGGGCAGAGGACAAAGCAGTGGGGCTGGAGACGAAGGGGGGTCTGGGTGAGGGCCCCGGGCAGAGGGTCTCAGCAGGACAGCGTGCTGGGAGCTGCCGGCCCCACACAGGGGCACCGTGGCCCTGAAGACCCCCCTCTCCCCTGCACAGGTAGGCCTGCTCCGGGCTGAGGCCTCTTCTTGGGGGTCAGAGCCAAGACCCCGCCTTCCCCTAGCTGCCTGGTACTGCAGAGCCTCACCTCACCCCATGCTTCCAAACCCTGGGCCTGGCCCCTCCAGCTTTTAACTCGTCTTCCTGAAGCCTCGAGGTCTTTGCAGGGAAAACGGGAATGATAGTAGTCCCTTGGGGCGGGGGAGGGCAGAAGTCGTGGTGTGTAGGGCCAGCAGTCAGCCCTGGCATGGCTGTCGCAGGTTCCCACGTGGCGGCACGGCTCTCGGGCTCTGGGACAGAGGCCATCGTTGTGCCTATAGGGAGGGACGCTCATGGAGCCTCGGGGAGAAAGGAACTGGGGCTCCAAACGCATGTTCCGCTGTGGGCCGTCGCAAGCACCCAATCGTGGACACACGGCAGACCACGTGCAGGCCTGCACAGCATCGCTACCGCGTTGCTGTCGTTTGTTGCTATAAGGCACGGGCTCACCAGAGAGAACAGAGAGGGCAAGTGAGATGTCACAGTCTCTTCTCCATTCTCCTCTTGGGATTTTGGGCACACACGCACGCGTGCTCAGAGTGTTTTCCGAGCCACCAGGTGCAGGACTCGGGTCCCCGGCTGGCCACATGGTTAGGTTCCAGCACCTATCCACCATGCTGCTGCAGGCCCCAGGGTTATGAGCGCGAGTCCTCATCTCAGAGAAGCCCAGTACCTGGCAGAGCCGAGTTAAGAGCAGCTGTTTCTAGCTGTGCGGTCTGGAGCGGGTGACTTCTCTCCCTGAGCCTCTGTGAGCGATGATGGCCTCCGTGCCACACGTACTGACGCTGTGTCCCTGTGCCGCCGAAGGCAGAGCGCAATGTTCAATTTCAGACCTCTAGCAAGCGACTAACCGGCTTCCCGCCAACCCTGCTTGGCCTAACCCCTGCTCACCAGCACCCCGCACAGCCCAGGGCAATGGGGCGGCTGCCTCCTGACCACCAACCCTTCCACTTCTCAGTCACCAGGACCTGGAGCTGGAAGCCGAGCCCCAGCCGGAGCCGGAGCCGGAGCCGGAGCCAGAGCCGGCAGGGAAGTGGGTCCTGTGTAACTACGACTTCCAGGCCCGAAACAGCAGCGAGCTGTCGGTCCGGCAGCGGGATGTGTTGGAGGTAAGCGGTGTGGGGCTCCGGGGCCCAGGCCGGCCGGAACCACAGACCCAGGTTCTGAGCCCTCTCCTCATACCCTACTCAGATCCTGGATGACAGACGCAAGTGGTGGAAAGTTCGGGACCAGAAGGGGCAGGAGGGATATGTACCCTATAATATCCTGACACCCCACCCTGGACCCGGGGTGGGCCGCAGCCACAGCCCTGCCCGCAGCCTGGTGAGACAGGACTCCCGCCTTGAGGGAGAAGAGGCTGGGGGATAGCGGGGGGAAGGTCGCCGGCCCCCGCAGGGCAGGAGCGGCGACTGGGACCTCAGCACGGCTTCTCCAGGAGCAGAGGGCCCGGAAGGTGGAGTACAGCCCTGATCCACTGCCCTCCCACTCCTCTTAGACTAGCACTCCCCCTCCCCCACCAACCGCGGCCCCTGCTCCCGTTCGGCCCCACTGGGACAGCTGCGACAGCCTCAACCACTTGGACCCTAGTGAGAAGGGTGAGTAGGAGGGGCCCTCAGGCGAGCGGCCCTTGTCCTCGCTTTCCAGGCAAGTAAGCCGAGGCTCAGAAAGGCCAGATGGACTCCCGGCCGGTGCCCCATCAGATCCAGCTAACTCCTGGGAAGGCGGGAGTCCCGCGCTCTGCCCAGTACCCCTCGTCCTGAGCCTACATTCCCTCCCTCCCGGTTTCCCGCAAGCAGAGAAATTCTGCCAGATGCTCAGTGTCAACGCGGAGCTGCAGGCGCGCCTGGCTCAGGGCCGCTCGGGTCCCACCCGTGCAGCCCCGGGGCCTCGCGTCCAGGAAGCGCAGCTCAGTCCACGCTCAGATGCCTCGGAGGTCCGGGCCTGGCTGCAGGCCAAAGGCTTTAGCTCGGGGTGAGTGGAGCGGATGACAGCTGGTCTGCTGGGAGATGTGGGCGCTGGGAGCCGAGTGTTCCCAGTGGGCCCAATGCGGGGTGGAGAAGTCGCGGATTGGCAGGTTTCTGCGGTTTCCGATCGGAATCCCAGTGAAGTCCCGCCCCTTTCAAAAGCAGGATGCAGCCCCCTCCCACCGGATGGAGTGCTGCGATTGGCGGGTGGGTGGGCCCACAAGACCCGTAGCGCATCTCCCGCCCTGGAGAGCTTGAATGCTGCAGATGGGACCAGCAGCTGGGCGGGAGAGCTGTGGCTGGCACCCGGGCCTGGCTGCGCCCCCCACTACCCGGCTCAGGACTGTGGAGGCACTGGGTGTGCTGACCGGTGTGCAGCTTTTCTCGCTGCAGAAGGAGGAGCTGCGGGCGGTGAGCCCCGAGGAGGGGGCGCGTGTGTACAGCCAGATCACGGTGCAGCGTGCGCTGCTGGAGGTGAGCAAGAGGCTGCTCATGCCTGCGCTTGGACGTGGGGGAGCCGGCGAGCCCGAGGGCTCGGACACCAGTCCTCATCCCCACCTGCCCTCCAGGACAAACTGTCAGAGCTGGAGGCGGTTATGGAGAAGCAGAAGAAGAAAGTGGAAGGCGAGATGGAGATGGAGGTCATCTGACCGTTCCTGGTACCTTTGCAAAGGACGAAGGACTCCCCACGCCCGGG